CAATTTATTTATTTAATATATAATTGTTATTTATATAGTTATACTTTTATAGTTGTCAGTAGTGATATTATTTGTAAAAATTGTTAGTTATTGTCGCATTAAAAAATAATATCTTTATCACATATATTGCAATCTCGCCTACCATTCGTTGATAAAAATTAGGTAGTGCGAGAAAGTGATTTGTGCTGACATCTAGCAATGTGTTCAATGCTATTTAGAAATTTTAAACATTTAAAAAATGTTCTTTATAATATATTTATAATTTTATTAATAAATATGATATTTTGCATTTCATGTAATTATAAATAAAAATATTGAGAACTGCTTAATTAAATTATCTTGCATTGTGTGTGTGTGTGTGTGTATATTCTATAATTGATAAAACTGTTTAGCCAACAGTTGATAAAACATTACGTTATTAAATCAATAAAAGCATTTTAATTTGTATCTTTAAAAATATTAATAAAAAATCAGTGTCTTCGCGAATAAGTAAAAATATACATACGGTATAAGTGAGTATCATCATTATTTGATTCTCTTTGATTGCTTCCATCACTCATCTTTATTCTACGCCAAGCTGCAATGATAGAATGTTTATTATTTAATAAATATAATATAAAAACATTCATATTTTCTATTAAACATTATATTTCTTTACCGTTCCTGAAAAATGTTCTTATACCAGGCTTTTCTTTGTTTCTAGAGTTTTGATGATTGCATTTTTTGACCGAGTTAACATCTTCTTCCATGGTATACGAAAAAGTATCTTTAAAAGGCAAACAATAAATTTCATGTTAATAAAATTATTGACTAGATAAATAGGTTATCAAAGTATATTAATGCAACATGAATTAATATTTACTACAAATAAAAATAAATCAAATTTTAATTAGACAGATTTTTAACAATAAAAAGATACTTATTGTATGTAATTATAAATTATATGTTATTATGAAAAGAAAATGATCATATTATTTATTCATTATATTTTGTTACTCTATTCTATTATTTCATTATTTTATGTGCTCTGCATTACAATAGGGAGAATATATTTAGCACAAGGTTTATACATTGCGTTAGCATCATAGGCGCCGCGATTTCAAACGCTATTTTATTGATGTATATATTAATATTAAAAATGTTATAAGGTATTACTATATAAATTGTTAAATATTAAAATTTATTTTTTTAACAAGTTTTAATAATGAATCGACTGGTTATTTAATTTTTTATTACATTAATTAATTATTAAGAAAAATTGCAATAAGAAACAGTCAAGTTCTACGAGTTTTCAAAGATTTTCTAATATTGCGGGATAAAATTTAATATTATAAAAAATAAAGTGTTATATTTGTTAAATTCAAAATTGACACGTAAATACGCATTACATTAGTATACGTTGCATTGTTTAGTGCGCACAAATCACGATGCAGCAATCAAATGTCTATTTTTTATAGAAACATCACATTTAAGTACCGAATGTTACGAAATTGTAAAATCAATAAAATAAATAACAACTTAGCACTAACCCAAATCTTCGGTACTTATCGCGAAACACACTCACATCAATCTAACTTATAAACTTCTAAACAATTTCTCGCGGTGCCGTAGGTGGTTGTAGAATAACCGAATACTATTCAACGAATCAGTTGGAAACCACTAGTCAAATGGCCAACAGAAGAGGGATCTTTGGCCAAAAGCCAAATACACCTACACATATCTGCATTTTTTTTTGCTCAGAAGAGGTCAGAGTACTATTCTTTCTTATGTTTCTCTTCTGACGTCATTGACTCCAGTGACAGAATCGAATTATATACGAGGGCAATAAAAAAAGTTACATAGCAAATGATATCTGACACCAGAAATATATAATACTGGCCACAAATATATATATAGTCATAGCCATTGCCCGTTGCCAAGTAAATCCTCACCTTGATAAATCTTACTACTATTTGTATTATTTCGAGACAAACCTTAATAACACAACTATGAAATATTCAATGTCATTAGAAAAAAATAATATTAAGTGAAATAGACCGAGAAATATTTAAACACAAATAAGACAAAAGAATGCTATTTTCGGTCAAAATGGATCTTGGTGCTTAGTGATATTCATGTAAATATGAATATAGTGCTTATTGTTAGTAATATTCACACAAATACAGTTATTACTTTTATGGACTCTGCGCCGATTCGGTTTGTCGGACTTGAAACACAGGCATGAACTAAAATAATAATCTCACAATTAAATTAAATGCTCGTCGATTTAATAATAATGCTGATTAGCATTTTAAAATCTGAATAATCTTTGTTAAAAAATAAATGTAAAAACAATCTTGTATTATGTGTACGTTAAGCATATAACCGTGAAATCGATTCAATCATAGAAAATATGTAATGGAAAAAAAAATTTTATTCAAATAATATAATACAGATATGTGCATCAAATAATCATTAGACGGAACTTTGTTATCTCAAGGACTCATACTGAGCTGTATAAACTGATAAGTTTTTTAATAAAAATTCTCGCTTGTAAATATTATCAACGTTATCATTTGAGTAGGTAACAAAGACGTGAGAACACGGGGTGCGTCGTAGGCATTGAACGTCACTCTAAAGGCAACCTTGTTGCTAGGCGACGTTTAACTGTATAGTCGTTCTGTGCCCCTGCCATTTTGCACGAGGCGGCAGTTTCCAGATAGTAACTGTCGTCGGTGCAATCATCGGTCAGCCTACAAGGAAGGCGTTTAATATCCTTTAGCGTCCGCGCCGGCGGTGAACACCGCGCGACCACGCAAGAAAGTTCACTGTGTGTGCACAGTTAGCCCAGTCGACCGGCCTACCGATGGTCGTACCGACTCGTACTGAGAAATTTATACGGCGGCTCAACTGCGACAATTGCTCAGCCACCCCGCGTACGTTCGGATGCTACACTAATTGGACCACCAACCAGTGCCAATGGACTCTGATCGCGCCCCTTAAATATAGTGTTGATTAGTTCTTTATTATATCTTTTGCCAATTATTTGAAATAAACATCGTTATAGCTATATTTAAAAAAATGCATGTATATAAACTGGGTCAAATAATATTTATATATACTTTTTTTTTAAACGATAAGAATAGTCTTTTTCTAGTATGAAAAAAAAAAGAAAAAATAAGCACTTACAAAATCTATTGAAAAACAAGAACGTTTTTTATAAGCATTTTTATTACAAGATTAATATTTTTATTAACAAGACAGATAATTACAAAAAAGCATGAAAGAAAGAAATATACGCGTAAAAACATTTGCAAAACTGTCTATTACGATGTCTATAAAAACATAATTAGAAAGTAAAAAAAAACAGAACGTAAAACAAAACAAAGTAAACAGAATATAAAATAGATAAAACACAAAACAAAAGCATGAATGATCCATTAAAATTATTTTTAGGTCTGTGTTTAACTAAATTTTTAGATACTCTTTTTTTTCTTTTTCTTTTTTTTTTCCCCCAGTCAAATTGCTCGCTTCTCTCTCTCTCTCTCTCTCTCTCTCTTTCCGTGTATTATTTTTAAATTACATAAGAATCTCGAACATGATGAACAATGCTACAAAAAGTTTTGATATTCTAGTAACTAGTTCGAATGCCTTATACATAATTATTTTGGTGGCCTAACAAAATTAATGTCAAGCCTATATCTAGCTAAATTTTTAGATACTCCAACAAAAGCTTTTTTCACGCACATTTTTCATGTGCAGTCGCTTAAACCAACGTAAAGGTAAATTTATGTCTAATTCTTGAACTATTTTCACGTAGAGATAGATAAAAAAATGTTAATAGAAGATAAATTTTCATTAATCCATTTGTTGTCAATTCATACAATTATCTTGATTTCGATTATCTGTCAAACCAATTGCAGAAATTAAATTGTAAAGCAAATTATTAGTCGTGACAATAATGCAATTTGTATCTTTTATGCATTATTCCAAGTAATTATGTTGTACTCTATAATTATAATATTACCATATATGCTCTTTTAATAAGAATACGTTAACTACAACACAATACAACGCACAAACTTGTGGAGATTATATTCTAAATCTAATAATTTCTTCAAAAACTATCCTGCTTTATTTGGACATAATTAAAGGTCGGAAAATCACTGAAACGGAATATAAGTGTAAAAAGCATAGAGACGCGTGTTTCGGAAGAAGAAAACTTGATGTGCGCAACTACATTTCAAACGCAGACAAAGAAAAGAAGAACATCCGAAAGAAAGAAAGAGCAAATACACGCAGTAAATTAATGCCGGCTCTTTAACTAAATTAATTACGCCAATGGTAATTATACTTAAAGCGCGCCAGTGCATCCCGTGTTAAACGGTGCCACTGCTTCTTATGTATGTGAGTCTTTCCCTTTGCTACCCTCCTCATTCATTCTCTTTTCTTCTTCTTCTTCTCCTTAACACTAGTCCGTATCTCACTCGTACGCGACAGCACGATGCGCCATGCTGTTTGACGATAGTCACAGCCTCCATTGACTATTTGTAAGAGCGCGAAACACGTGTTCGCACACAGATAAATTTAATTAGACACTCATTTTTGCAGACACAGAAGTGACCGACACACATACCACACTCTTATTCGTTGGAGCTATCGCATTAGAGCTATTAATATATTTGTGTGCTATTTAATAACGAATGTTACCAGTGTAATAAAGTTTACAATTTAATACAAAAATGTATAAATAATTTCGTTTTTAAAATACTTTTCGAAATATGATATTTAAATATATACTTTCTTCTATTATGAGATCTCGTGCGTTATGTAAATGATATAAAAATGTATGTATAGAAAATAGATTATCCCGTGATGTTAAATGAACAGCAATCTATACCATAAAATTATTAAATGTTTGCACTGCTTGTTTCTTTCTATATTAATTTATTCAACATTAATTAATATAGCTTCCGCTGTTTGTTTCAACTGATCCATTTTTCAGTCTCAGTACTTATGATTGCGCTTCAATCTTGCTGTAATCTTGCTGCAAGTACAACAAAAGAAATAAATGACATATTGCTTATGTTGCTGGCTTAAAATAATAATAATTTTGGAGAACTACATTATGAAGGTTATATCTATCGGCAATGTTCAGTTCGAAAAAACAAGAATATGTGCATGGAATTAATCTCTCAAGATGTACCTTCGAGGTATCATAATACAGAGAGGAAAGATGGTCCAATAAGGGTCATCGAGGGGAAACAAGCGCGAGGTGAACCGCGTAGAAGCGACGAAGAGAGAAACGAGAAGGAAAACGGTGCGACGCAATGTAGAAGAGGGAGGCGAGGAGGAGGGCCGTTTGTCGGACATACCTTGGGGCCACCCTGGCGTCTAATTGCGTGTAATGCACTCCTGACTTGCCTGGCCTCGAGTTACCGCCAGAGAAGAGTCGCACGAAAAACTCGGGTCGTGCAGCAGCAAAACCCCGATGATCGCGGGGACGCGGTGCTATGTCCGGAACGCTCGGACCCACACGACGTAGACGACGAGGATGGCGAGGACGGCGACGCCCTCCAGGACGTCGATCCCCTCGTGCCATTGCAACCGGGGACGGGGTCGCGTCCTTTCCGCTCAGTTCTCGTTGCAGATCCCTGGAATGTCACCGGCACCTCCTGACCGCTAAAATGAAGACGTGTTCTTCACCATGCTTAACCGCCTATTGGACTGGCGAAATCCTTTCTACCGCGGACTCTACAGTCTCCCAAAAAAACAAGAATGCCACAAGAAAATACTTGGAGACATATCGACGATGAAGAAAGTATCTTTATCAAATCGACAAATTATTATAAGAAGTCAAATGATTGCGTATCATATTTTCATCAAATTCGATAAAGACTGAGTTTAGTGTTATACATTTTATGCTAAATCAACAATCTCTGATTCTAAGTTTTAATGAAATTATCTTCTTGAGAATTATCATTAAGTAAGCTAATATATGATTGCTTATTTAAGATTAAAATAAGAACTGATAAATATAAAAATTATTAAAATTTCTAATTGTAATTTTTTCTGAATAGATTATTTGACGAAGTTGCGAGTACTAACAATATAAGTAAATAAATGAAATATCAAGGCACCTATCATGGAACAAAGTCGAAATGGATTCCAATATTCAATCATTCCCTAGATTTCTATTGTGTTTTCTAAGGAAAACGGAATAATTCCGATCAGAATCCATACCGACTTGTCCAGGTCGTGAAAACTGTCAAATGTTCTCCCAGATGTATTCAATACTGCTTTTTTTTCCTAAATATTTCTAAAGTGGGCGTGCTTTTTACGAGGATTCGAAGATGGGTCGAAGAGAAATCATCCGAATCCCGGCAGCGGCATCCTTTAATTGCGGAATGATCATCTCGAGACCTTCCAAAGAATCGAAGGGGGAGAGACGTCCGGTGGAGCGAGAACTACGACCGCGATTATTTAGCGTAGCTAAGATCTGTCGGTACAGGTTTTTTGTCGCGAGAGCTTATTATGAATAATGATTTATGTTTTGTCTGTGCCAGTATCAGGGTGTTCCTTTAGAGAGCGAATAAACGAGAAGGTGAGATAAAGATGGACTTACGACTACGGTGCGCGGCTGAAAGAGATGCATAGAGGGGTTAATAACGGTCGCGTGTTGTAATACCTACCATTATCCACAAACCGACCGCCTAACAAGCTACCTGCTAATAATACACGACGGCACAACACACACGATCACGTGCGTGATCTTTTTACTTCGAGCCTATCAAGTTTTTGTCATTGCGATTGCTAGCTGCGGGGCAATATCGTATGTCGATCAATCTGAATGAACTGCCGGCGTTAAATTGCTGGGAAAACACAAATTAGAAACGTGAAAGTTTTTAGACCATACTATAACACTGATATGAATTATTAACACTTGCGAGTATTCGCTATAGCTTCACATTATTAAAACAGATACGTAAATTTTTATCACCTGTCGGATAAAAATCCAAATCTTGCTTACATTACATGTCAATCTTTAACGAATTTTAATGTATGAATTGTCGCTGTAAACGTCTATTTCATTATAGAATGTACGCTACTTTGTAATAAAATAAAGCGCGGCATGATTTGTATGTTCGCTTGAACGATTCTTCGAATGGTTGTTACACTAGGCTAGGGTATATACGAGAAGTTCTCGTCGAGAACTCGGTCGCGATGATACGAGGGGATATAAGCAGGCGGTGTAGAGTTTGCACAAAAGGCCACTCGGCAAAAGTCAATCAGTAGTCGAGCAATTATATCCGGTCGAGTGGATCGCGCTCGATCGCCTTCGCTCCATCTGTCATCGGTCGGCGATCTGGGAGCAAAGAAACAGCCGAATAGAGAGGAAAGAGGTGAGGAAGGAGCAGCTTTTACGAGCCGCGAGATGACAGGGCGCAACAGCGAGTACCAACTTCCGGCTAGTATTTTTTTCATCGCCCAGTTACTGTTCTCTCTCAGTATAATTTCTTTGTGCACATCTCGCAACATGTCTCTATGTCTCAGATAGTTACGGAGCATGTAGAATGTACATGTAAATGTTCAAGTACGATATGAGTGCATTGATGTTAAAGGATCAAGCATGAATCACATACACATGTTAAAATATATTGAAATAAATTAGCTAAGATAAAAGATAAGAGAAAGATTATATGTTTTGTGTGTATAGTCTTCTACATCGAATGCCACATTAACCTAAAGACGTAGCGCGTGAGCTGTTTTATTATAACCATTTATTTTGTTAAGTAAAACTTTTTAAAAATGTATGATAGGCGTGCATTCGATTGTCAATAGTTTCAAAATTATTTTATAGACATTTCAATACATTAATTATTATTTTATATGCAATGGAATAAAAAAATCGCGTTATTGTATTATTTATAAAAATACATAATTTGAAAAAATACATAAGATAAATCAGAGCCATACTATGAGCAGTGACTGACAAGTTTTTATGTGAAAACGACGAATTGTACAGATGAACAGAACTGGTTTCGGAAACAAGCTCTTCAATTATTTGAAACTTTACAGAACTGCCAACAGAAAAGAAGTAATACGTTTAGAATGTTGCCGATCGTTTTAACGTTAGGATGGTTGACTTCCATCTATGCGTGTACACGGCATGTTTGTTCGTCATTCAGTCGCAATTACGGATCGGGGCCGGACCAAGAAAAAGCCGCCCAGCGCATCGCTTGCCAATTACTGGAAGGAAGGGCAAGGGAGGTTCCAATTTGTTGTAAACATCTCTCAACGAAGGGCGGAAGCGGCACGAAAGGGTGTGGCGGTATTCACCGATCGCGAATCGCGTGGCTATTCCGACTTTGCACGGAATCCTTTAAGAGCGTGAAAGAGCGTACGTATATATGGCTGTAACCCTTTATTTCGTGACGCCAATTCTACGGATACTTGCAATTTTACTGGGATCCATAAAAAAAAGTAACTCGCCGTAAACAGAATTTTTTTTCTATCATAATTTGTATGAAACGTGTATTTTAAAATCAATAACACTAATTGAACTTTTTTTCTCTTTTCGTGTATATGTATATATAGGTAATGTAGCTACTATCGTCGTGTTGAGAGAGAAGCATGGTTATTAATATAAATTTGTTCTTTGAGTTTGTTACTCGAGTTAATTAAGCTACAAGTGACTTGTAAATGATAATAAACGGCGAGGCAGCGTGGGCGAGAAGTACAGTCGAGCGTCGGGTTATCAAAAATGCAACACGGGTTCTGTGCCGACGGTCTTTGTCGGCAAACTCGTGCGAGCAAATGCAAAAGGTATGAGTGTAGTTGAAACAGCACGAGCTGGCATGGAAAGGTGTACAGCAAAGAGCGGTGTCTGCTGACGCAGTCCAGGGCTTCCTCTTTGGCCAGACTTCCTGTCGGAAACGATCGTCGGGATTCACACAAGGTAAGTGCTCATTCCAGTAACGTGATTTAATATCACGTGTTCATGTCTAACAATAAGATTCTATTGTTAAGATACCTGATATAATTGAAAATTAAATTAATATAGAATTAAACAAACATAATAAGACTTTTTTTAATATGATAAAATGATTGTAAAGAGAGTATGATATAATTCCATTCTATAAATGTATATTTTATTAATTACTTTCGTCTATTATCGCATAATATATAAATATATTGTTTTTATATTTTTGTTTTATATTTTTCGTAATATCTTTCTTTCTAATATTCAGAATAAAATTCATGTTTATATATTTTTAGCGTACAGATTACTTTAAAAAAATAATAACATAATGATGCAAGGCAATTCGGTAATTTAAGAAATATTACAATATTTTAATTTCATCAAAAAATTTATACTGGATAAAAATGAAACAGCGCAAGAGAATGAATCGTCGTAGAACGCTGAATGAATAGATTAAATGGAATGTCATTGAGTACCGTCTTGAATCATGAATATGATACCATGTCTGTGGCATCAGACGGAGTCTCACGTATGCGACATTGCATAAATGTCCTTCTACTACCTCGCAATAGCGATACAGTTTCAGGAACTGAATGAGAGATCCGGCTAAAGAATGAACAATTGATGAGGTCAATGAATGCCGATGACAACACTTAATATCATGTTTCACACAGTATAAAATATTTGATGTTTCATTAATTCGACGTGCACGCCGTAGGTGGTCGAAGGTGTGGCGTATTGGGTGATGCCGAAAATCACAACATCTTCGACAGCGCACCAACATCCGGAGGAAGACACCTCGCTTGCGCATATTAATTATGCTACTTGCCAATGCTAATTAATTCGTCTAATTAACTAGGCGACGCGGATAGTGCGTCATTAATGCCTCTGCATAAGCACGATAGACGCGACAGTCTATCATATTTAATGTCACGATACAATTTTTAATTTCTAAATACTTTTCATAATTGCATTTAAAAAATGTCATACTTATTGTTATTAATCTTTCTCACTGCTCTAATAACAATAGTTATTTTGAAACAAATGAGAAAACGATTATTCAAACTCACATCAACTAATTGTTCGGTATTTTAATCAGTTTCGCAAATAATTATAAAAATTACAATTTTTCATGACATAAAGGAAGGAACAAAAATCAGCAGAAATGTGAGACTTCTTTGATGTCCATTATAAACTGCATATTTTGTACAATGCTACCTAACTGACGAAGATAAAATTTTCCGTTGAGAATAATACATTTATCTCACTGAACTATAATACAACTGAAACGCGTACTCAACCTATGTATAGCCTGGCTAAAGTGTTGTCTAAACAGGTATAATAACTGCAGGGTCCTCTACCTTGTCACACCGACGTTTATTAGTTAAAATTTATGTCGTTACAGTCAGGGACAAAAGTATGAAGTATGAAGAAGCTGAAAAATTTTGTTTCAGAAAAGAACTGTTTACGAAAAGAATTTTTCATAAAAATGTACGGAGAGAGACAGAGTCCTACAATGATATTTTTCTCTCTCCCGCGGATAAAGACTGTGTCGTCTATTATTATAGTTCAGTGATTTATTTCTTTCAGACTTTGAGTTTTTCCTTGACACACCGATAAAGAACCAGGTAAGAAGACTGATTTACAAATTATTACGGACTAGTAGAATTTACTATAGTAAAATTCAACCTTGAAAAGTGGACATTAATCCACAGGTTTTAAAATTGTTGCTATGGTTATGAACATCTATAATAAATTATTTTAAATAATAGGCGTTTCTCAGTAAGGGCATACAATAAATCATACGTATAACACAATAAATCATTATATTCTTGTTGCCGCCAACGTTGAATAAAAATAAACTCACTGTGTTAAACACTGTGTTCTTGGTGGAAAACATCCAATATTTTCTGTTAGCGAGATACCTATCGTATTAAATGCAATATATAAAATACGAATTTTTTTAAAGACAAATAACAAAATTAAAATAAAATTATTCATAAAACAAAAAAGTAAAGAATAAAAAAATTTTGTGTAACAAAGTAGAAAAATTTATTTCAGACAATAGTAATAGTATTAATCTATTTTTTTTTGTATTTTAAGTTTTTATTGAGTATGGGTAATCGTATTGAAAAGTTCACGGTTGATCGTGAACGCAGCCCGATACCAGAAGAGTGGCGACTTGTGACAGCTTCTTGGAAAAGATTAGGCGTCGTTAGCGGCCTTCGCCGGACATCGACCCTACCGGTAGTCGGTACTTTCTTTCTCAGACTCCGTTGTGCGTGCGTTTCAAGATGTTGCGGTCCCAGACATCGAATGTTTCCGTATCGAACCAGAAAGGCGTCTGCTTCTCGGCGAAAACCCTGTCAGATTATACAGATTCCACGCAAACCCGTCAGGTTAGTCCGCCATGTTAATCATAAACGACGGTTCACCTGAACCGCCATTTTGATACCATTCGCTCTTTGTGATAGCTATTAGAATCGCACGAGTGGGCTTGAAAAGTATGGCGGTTAATGATTATGCCGGAAAAGACACAGGTGAAAACGTTGTTTTAGTAAAAATTATAAAATCAAATAATAGACTCATGTATTTAATTTTAATTTATATTTACTAAGAAGTTTATTATGTATAAAAATAATCATGCTAAATACGGGCAGAGCATTCAATATTATTACTTTACATTTGTATGATATTATAAAATGAAAATACACATTTAGATTAAAATATTTACTTCCAGAATAAAAATATATAAAATAATATTAAATATATTATATTACACTTTCTTTCTTTTTCCTCCACATTATGTTATGTTTACTAATTAATCGAAAGAAACATATTCCATTCA